ATATATACACATATATATATATATATACACATATATATATATATACACATATATATATATATACACATATATATATTTATATATATATAATTTCTCTGTATTTGCAAAATACAATGAATTTAGACAGCAACAATAATGAACACCACTTCCATCTTCTATTTTAGATTCTATTCTTTCATTGAAACCTACGTACATGTCAGAACATCAGTCTTATAAATTACAGAGAATCGTTCCATGCAATTCCAGTTTGTTCCTTCTTGTTTTTTTCATTCAACCTTTATTTATTCAGGTTAATCCCATTGAGCCTCGGGGACTCATTTACAAGAGAGACCTTTTTATTTTCTCCTCAGGTTTCAGTCCCATACTGCAGAGGCTGCTAAGTTGGAGGTCGAGGTGACTAAAGCTCAGGACACAATCACTGCAGCGCAGCAGCTTATATCACAACTGGACGGAGAACACACACGTTGGAATGCACAGGTATTTTGATGTATGGGTGTGCTGATACATTTATTGGTGTGGAAGGTATTACAAATGTACTCCAAAAGGGGCTCATTTACCACGTGGGAGCAACAGGCAGTCAGGGTGTCAGTGAGTGCTGTGTGTGTGTGCGTGCATGACATAGAGGGATGAATCCTGCTGCCTTGGGTCCCCTTTTGGCTGTTTTTAGTCTTCTCCACAGCATCTGTCTGTGCCTTAATTAAAACACTCAATCTCGTGCTGACACACTCACTCACACTAACACACACACACATACACTCAAGACCTGCACCAGAAATCAAGTTTACTTTCTGCTCACGTATTTCCATACATTTTCTCTCTCTCACACATGCATGCACAGAAACAGTTTTGCATGCTTAACAATAGCTGTGGAAAGCAATATGTTAAAGTGTTTAGGCTATTTAATGTTCTGAAAGGAAGCAAGAACCAAACAATTATTTGGATTTTGTGCATAACCGCACAGTAAGCAGGGTAGAAATTGTCAGGTTTAGTCATACTATAGACGATGAGTGGTTGTTTTCTTGTACTTATTCAGTCGAAAATAGACAACATGGTCTTGAAAACCTATAGATTCAGAGATGTTGTCATGCAGGAGTCCTGAAGCTGAGCGATCAAGCCTAATGTGAACTTATTCGTCCTTCACAATGCTGAAACACTTCAATAGAAACCTGACCAAGCTGGAAATCACTGCAGTAATGTTAGTCGTACCAACTCATGGAAGTGTGTTACTGTCATTTAACTCTTCCTCTTCTTTCATTCTCGCCTTGCTTTACATTCTTACCTCTGATTCCTGCCAAATCCCCATTGTTCAATGTCTTGTATGTTTTTTCTTCACTCTACTCTCTACTCAGCAGTCTCTTCTGTCTTCTCCGTTTCTTTTTCCAGATGTATGAGATAAAGAGTGAGTTGGATACGCTCCCCATCAGAGCTTTGCTTGCCGCAGCCTTCATCACCTATCTGTCCGCTGCTTCTGAAGACCGCCGAAGACACTGTCTGGAGATTTGGATGGCTCAATCTGGACTTCAGAGTAATACACTTTAACAAACCAATAACAATTATATGTGTAAATATTCTAAGTTTTCACCTAGAATTTGACACAATAACTCAACAAATGATAAATGGTAATGGACTGTACTTGTATAACACCTTTCAATCTTATTAAGATTACACTGCAATCTGTGGCCTCATTTACTCATTCACACAGCACTCTACAATATCAATACAAATAACAATCTGCGCTTTATCACATTCAAACACCAATGGGACACACATCGGAGACAATGAGGGGTTCAGTGTCTTGCCCAGGGACACTTCAACATATGACTACTGGTGGAATCGAACCCCCAACTCTCCCATTGGAGGTCGACTGCTCTAACCACTCAGCCACAGCCGCCCCAAAGAGAGAAGAACAAGAATCCCAGTACCTAAAAAACACTGTTCTCACAGAATAAAATATACAAAATCTATCTTAAAGTGCTCGTTATCATCGTGAATATGACTGATGTGGTGATAGAATTATAAACTTAATGCTCAAAATACATCTGTAGAGTTATGTTATAAAATATATAATTTAGGCACAAGTAGCGAGAATTAGACCGTAAACTGATGGATTATAATTTACTGGTCCAACAGCAACTTCACTGATTCTGTGTTCTACGTCCCTCAAAGATCAGAGCTTTAGGAATTACGTCACACTCAACTTAACTGTAACCTTAACTAGCTGCAAATAAAAACGGCAGGTTTCTATTGTTCTTGTGCTCAGTAACAAGGTTAACACTATTACAAGCAAATGATATTCAATTAATAATTTATGTCGCAACATGTTCTCTAATTCAGGTTGAACAGTACTTTGTGTGTGACTGATTTAATGAGATACAAACTAGCAGAAGTGCAAATAAATTATTACTGCTGGTATAATCATTATTACATTTTAACAAGGCATTTGAGTGAAAAGCCTGAGTTCAGGAGTGTTTCACTTGATTTTTCTAACTTGAAGCATAAACATTATAACTTCTGGACTCATGAAATACACCATTAGTCAGCATCTGAGTAAAATCCATGTCCAATGTTTACTATTATCTTCTTGTGTGCTTGTTCACATCTTTTCTTTTGATTCTTCTCTTTTCCCTAAAGGGATGTCTTAAGACTCCCTACCACATCTGACATAATGTACAGTATAATGTACTGATGAGCCCATTGTAGCGAAGTGTTTATTTTCTTAAAACTTGAAATTTTGTTCAAACTTAATTTCTTCATATTTATTTACACTATTGCAAATTTTATTTCAAATGTAACATCGTATTTGGAAAGTATTGTGTTATCTAGTGTCTTCTTTGCACTATAAGTCAAAAGTTAATTCTGGTGTGATGTCACAGGGCTAGATACAAAATCTGAAATGTTGTTTTTCAACACCCATTTTTTCATGAACATTTACAGGCCTGGGCTGTTCAGAATGAATGTCAATGTGCCATCAAAACATGAGAGGCATACAGAATTTTAAGATTCAAATTCTTTAGTGCAGCTTTAGAAGTGTATTATGCTCAGGCACTAAAATTATATTGGGAATGATAATGAATTTATTTCAAATTGGTAGCCAATATCTGTTTGTCAGTATCACAAACTGAAACACTGAACTAACAGGAATCCAAGGAATGGCAGATATGAAGAAACAAAAAACACAGGCTCAGCAAAGTATTGGGAAAAACAAAGAAATCAAGAAGGTATAAACTAAACCTGAGCCAAAACTCACAGACATAAATAAAGTGTTTGTTGTCTGTTTGCTTCAGAGTTTGACTTGAGGTCCTTCTTGTGCTCGGAGAGTGAACAGCTGATCTGGAAGAGTGAAGGGCTGCCGTCCGATGACTTATCCATGGAGAATGCTCTCGTTATACTACAGGTCAGACAATGATTCATCATCTGTTTTTACTGTTACCAGTTCTCTCAAGATCTTTTTGTTGAAAAACTTCTACACCAACAACAGGAAATCGTTTTATTTTCTACAATGATAAAAATTTGTTTCAGCCTATCCCTCCTAATTCACTCAGGTGTACTTCCTATTTTAAAATTTGAATATATTGCAGTTTTTAACTCTTAGTGTTACCTTGTTTTTGTTTTAGCTGTTCAGTGTCCGTGACTGTCCTGAAAGGCGCTTTTAAAATAAAATATACAGTACAGTAGTCCCTCGCTACTTCACGGTTCGTTTTTCGCAGACTCGCTCTATCGCAGTTTTTCAAAAAAAGATTGGACATGACACACAATGGCTGATTGATGGATGAGTCGCACGATCGGCATGGAATTGTTA